AGAGATGTTGTTTCTTTCATGATGTATACCATGTTATATACAATATCAAATAAAGAAATGATGCTTACCTATGAGGGAAAACCCCCCAAAAAATATATATATATATATTAAATTTTTTTGAATTTAATAATTTCTATAAAAGTATTCTAACTTTATTCTGGTTTAAAATATTAAACAATCTTTTATTATTGAAATGTTCATCATATTGTTTTTTATTAAAAACAAAATAATTTTCAATATATAATATATAGTAACATATTTTATATTATATTTAAAACAAATGTTAAAAAATTTGGATAATAAATATTCTATCTTTTTTATCAAGAATACTAGTGATTCAATTTTAATATATTTGATTTTTTATACTATATTATAACAAAATAAATATATGATTTTGGATAGACTTTTTTAATAATTATAATTAATATATTTACAATATATATGGAGATCTTTGTTTATTTATAATGAATCAGTGATATATTTATATTAGTAAAACTTTAATAAATCAAATAAAAAACAATGATTTTCTATTATTTGATATAGTTATTAAGTTATTATAAATTTTATATTTAAATTTTTTATAAAAATATTATTTTTTATATTGTACTGGTAAGCCTTTTCTTACAAGTTTCAAATCTATAAATTGTAAAATAAATAAACAATATATATAAATATAAAATGATTTTATATATTTATAATAGATACTTATCAAAATGATTTTGTTTATGGTTTTTAATTTTATTATAGATTTTAGAGAATCCAACTTAGAAGAAGAATATTTTTATAATTTCTTTTTATGCTTTTAACACTATTCACAATCAATTGAATATTGTCTAAAATTTTTGACATGTTTAAATTCTCACCATTAAAAATAATCACTTTTGCTTGATTATAGTATCATGAATAAAAAAACAACACTATAGAAAATTCAGTTATTATTGAAAGGTTCATGTGTATTAAAAGGTGTAAGCAAAAAGCCATCACTATTACTTGTCCTTGCTTAGCATTAATAGATAACTTTAATTTGGAAAAAACTAGTTCTTTGCTTTTTTATTAATAAAAGAAAACAAATACCATGTGATATCAAATAAAAGAAAACAAGTTTTTTGGAAAGATATCATTAATAAGTTGAACAAGCAGAAAAATACTGATTATTTTACAGATAAGAATTTTAAGTCTCACAAAAGCATTTAAGGTGCATAGTGCTGATTTGGTTTTTATCAGAATCTAGGCAAATATACTTATTAATTAATTAGTCAGCTTAGAAGTTTAAAGAAAGATCCAGGTTAAAAAGAGCTTAATTGGGAGAAATTTTATAAGGAGTTTTTGACAGAGTTCTGGTTGAAACCTGATAATTATGTTTCAGTAGAGAATAAGACTTTTTCAAGAAACTAACATGAATCTATCTACTTTCATTCACTAGAACTTCTATTCAAGCAGATCCATAATGAAAGTGTTAGGTCAAGCAAGATGAGTTCTTCAAGTACCGAAGTACTGATGCATCAGCCTAACTTGACAAGAGTTAAACTGTCGAGAATACAAAGTCTCTTGACACATCATCACCTGCAAAATCAAAATCGAGTGATATTAAAGAGACTACCCCCACTCCATAATGTCGAAACACCTAATATCTTCATTATTTTTCGCCAAGTGTAAATGTAATCAATGTTACTATTAATTATGGCGGAGGAACAGATGACCAACTTAATGGAGTAGAATAAAAAATTTTTTTATTGATGTAGAATGGCTTTTTTAATAGGTTATATTTGATCATAAGAGTTAATAATCATCTGAATAACACATGTATAGTTTTATATTTACATTTGCAAGACATTTTGAAAATCAATCAAAACATTCTTTATTGCAAAGTGTTATATAAAGGCCGGCCCGACTAAAAAAAAAAAACAAAACTAATAAAAGATATTGGAGATCTCGTTAAAGAGAGGAAGCAATAATATCGAGCTTTCCATGTGCATTACAAATTGCAATGCCCAAGTACTTTGCAAAGAATTTTCTATGCATACAGTATTACATGACATTAAAAAGCATAATCGCTATTGAAAAGTATAAAGTCTAATTACTATATTAACGGTGTAATGCTTTACAATGATTTAAACTAATACCAACAGTAAGAAGATAAGTGCATAAAAGAGCATACTGGCTAAGAATAGTTCAAGTAAATTAATTATAAATCTTTCTCATATTGATTAATGATTTTTGGATTTGCAAGCACTTGAAAATGTTACATTATTTATATTTGAACTTTGAGAGATTCAAAAGAATCAAATTACACTTTAAAGCAACAAATAGTTTAACAGTACTATTACATAATTTAAGTCACATAATTTCGCTATCATTCCAATCAAGATTTAATACAGCGGACAGTCCAAATGAAACAAATCTATCTTTGAGTATAAAAGACATATCTTGGTCATTGATTGTAAATTCACATTTGTCTGATGCTATCTTCAAAAGTTGTATTGAAAAGCAATGCATCTCTAATATAATCTCTTAAGAAGTTTGTCGAAACTTTTACTTTGAGAGTGATGATAATTATTTCTTCCGAGATCAGGAAATAAAAATAACATTCTGTATCAGTGATGCTAAATACATGCTTCTACAGTATGAACCTTAACTTGTTACTTACTTTCAGTTTTGGAACAGGAACTAACATTCTTCCGGGTACAAGTTTTTCCTTCTCAGCTCTTTTTTTAATAAGTGTAAATCGAGTAATAGTAGTGTATAGTAATTTCTGTTAAAAAAAAAAAAACGCATATAAACGTAAGTCATACAAGACACTAAAGATACTACTAACCTTGACTTGAAGCATTATATGGGATATCTCAATATCTGACTTTAGCTCCTCGTATTTTGTTGGTATGTCAAAATCGGCTAAATTTATCGATGCGTAATAGCCTCTTCCTACATAACTAGGATAGCACGCATAGTAAAGTAAGAAGACAAAAAACCAGGCATAAGAAGTATTGTGATAGCCTGCAGAACGGCTTTGAAAGCATTCCATTGCCTTCTGCAGATATTACTTCAGCTAGGAACCGGTACATGTCTCTTAGAATCTTTTGTCCTTTTAAATTATTCGAAATAACCTTGCGTTTGTTTTAACTTTGGAACCAGTTCGCAAACTGAAAATTCACGACCCCAACTTAAATCCTTTCCTAAATCGTGTCGCTATAGATTTAGGTTAGTAAATGCCTTGATAATAACAATGAACTCTTAGAGAATTTATCATACCGTGAACATCCAGTCGACGTGATATCCTTCCGCATTGCTCGGAGCACCTACTGCATTTGCTCAACGATCTCGTGAAGCTCTTGATACCATCTCACCGCTTATTTAAGAAACTATTTAAGCATAATTATAAATAATAAAAATATTGAGAACAATAATGGAGCTTACAAATGACTATCCAAAATATCATCGAAACATGAAAAAATATGACGCTTAATAAGACATCTATGTCCTGCTCCGAGTTTTGTCTACTGGGGATTTCTTTCGCGATCATCTCGCACCTGATGGAAGTTGAAGTAAAAGTATATGAAGTTGCATGTATAGTTAAACGCTGAACTATCAAATGAACCTACGTATATCTAATCTAATCAAAAATGTACGCGACATTTGGATCCAGATGATCATTAGGATCAAGTGGTGAGATCTCTTCGTGAGAAATTTCATCTTCGCCGATATATCCATCATAAAATAGATCGCCAGCTTCTAAGATAATTGGATTCCTAATATACTTATCATTTCTTGGAATCTAAGATTTGCACCGTGTATTCCCATCGGTCTTACGGTTTCTCCAATTGTAAGAAGCTGATAGCTGCCGAGCTGGGAACCAAAAGAAATGTTAACCCAAAAGAATTGAGATGCTTAAATCGACATATTCACCTTTGAAAGAGACCTCAGACATTTTTCCGCTGAAGGTTCCAACACGGTCCAATCCTTTAAAGCAGATGAAAACATCGCGTTCAGATCTGATAGATCAGATTCTAAAGATCTACAAGTTTAGGATCCGACAAGTCTATAATCTTCCATCAAATTGATCTGAGGAGAGAACTTTGTTAGAACCTACTAACATCAAGAAAAATGGAACCAGTATTTGCCCAACATTTACTTTAAAGATTATTTATGCGTAGTTATTGGATCATCTTTTGAGATTAACAGACGACGTTCCTCTATCAATTTTTTTAGCCAACTTGGCTGTGGTGTATTAAACTCCCATTATTCGTCATCTGTAACCTCTGTAACCGTGCATAAATGTGAAAGATGAGAAGACATTTTGTTGCGGGATATATATTAAAACAACGGAGGATACAACTGCCTTGTCTTCTGGAGTTTGCGATGGCTCGTTTTCTGTTCGGCGACATTGACGTTTGTGCGAGGCATCATCTTCGTTTCCCCTGGCTTAATCCTCAGGATATCGTTTGTTAACGGCGCCTGTAACTTCAGCTGAACTGCTTCGTTAAGGACTCTTACGTCTTCTATTACATAATTTTTCCCGGCATTTCTCTATTTTTGGCAGGTTAAGAAATATAGTTAATAAAAATTACTTTTGAATAATCCTTGAAAAATGTAATATTGGAATGCTAACCTTTTCGCGTTCAAGAATGTCTTGAAAAAAAGGTATCGTTTGTTGACATTTATCATTTTCATCCTATAGAAAGTCGCAATGAGGGAGCACCGAAAACAGCGGCAAAACTTTTGAATCGGACTATATCATGAATATAACTACAACCCAGAAGGGCGCCGAAAACAGCGGCAAAACCTCTGGATCGGACTATATTACAAATATAACTACGACCCAAAAGCGCTCTTTACTCATCACTTGGGCGCCGAGAACAGCGGCAAAACCTCTGGATCGGACTATACCATAAATATAACTACAACCCAGAAGCGCCTTTACATTGATAAGTTAATAAAGTTCGAGTGCATGAAACCTTTTCTTACCTTTTCGACATGATAGATATACCTCCTATACCATGCACCATCTAAGCCACTCCAGTCACCAGAATACGGTGGCGAAATTATGATTGTTTCTCTTATTTCATTTAAAAAATGTTTGTAAGTCCATGTTTCTCTATCGTTAGTTTTGAAATATTCCAAAACAGCTGGAGAAGTCAAGGTATGAGGATCAGTTTATTGCCCGAGAACAACTCTATAAAATCAAGAACTTACCATTCTTTTTGGTTTTTTTTTTCGTTTTTTGATTCGGTTACAGTTTGTAGGTATCGCGTTAATATACGTGTGTCATCATAACAAAAAAATCATGTGCGTGTGACGCCAATCACTTTGAAATTACAAGCGAACAGAAATTAATCGTGGGCGTGGATATTTAGTGGAACAAGTACAAGGTGCTAAAATAAGTGGAGATATCTTTGATTTACGGCAAGTAAACTAAGTTTGATGAGTTTGTTTTTGCAATTGCTATCTTGATTTTTGCAGAAGGGTGTTCAACAGAAAAAAATTGCATCTTTTATAGGCTTTGTAAAGATAACTATGTAAAGTATATATTGTTTTTCGTTTCTTTATTAAAATCTAAATAAGCGTATATGGAGATTTCAACACGAATGTAAACTTTATCTGCATCTATTCTATGAATTTGTCATCATTCTCATTTAACTTTATTAGCATTTATTGTTTGTAAATCGTTTGCGAAGCGCGACACTCTGTGCCTGGATTGCCGGCTCATACCGAAGCTATCTAAAACTTTATTCATTATATAATTTTATTTTATTACAATGTGGGTATCAATTAAACATTTTTTCTTCGTCTCTCAAAAAAAAAGACAATATATGTAATATATACTATATAACTTTTTGACAATTTTTTTTCTTTTTATTTTTTTTTCTATAAATTTAATTTGTTAATAATTTTATATTTTTCTTTAAAAATTTTTTTATATAAATTGAATTGTTGAAATTTATTAGATCATATATTGTTAATTTTCATTTATATATCTAAAATTAGATTATCAACTTAACTAGTTATATCTAAAGCTTTGATTCTATTAATTATAAATTAAATTATGTAATTATAATATATCTGTTCAAAATTTTATTGTTCAAATTGTTATATTTTTTTACTTGTTTAATATATTTTTTAATTAAAAACTATCTTTTTGAGGGGTTTTCTCAGTAAGTAAAATATTATTTCTTTATTTGATATTATATATAACAACAAGATATATATCATAAAAGAAACAATATCTCTTGGGTGCAAGGCATACAACAAGTTAAATATTAGCTTGCCTACTTAACAGTATTTAACTGATATTGAAAATTTTTTCAAAAGCAATATTAATGTGTTAAATAAAGTTAAGTAGCAGCTATGTATATCAATCTAAAAAGTTTTATAAATTCTTTTAATTTTTTGAATATAAAGTAATTAAAAAAAAATAAACATAACAAACTAAATAGACTATAGAATCTATAAGTAGAAAACCAATTATTTTTTTAAAAGAATACCTAAACAGGCTTATTGTTCTATTTCTTTAGCTTTTTGATTACCATATATAATAGAGCATATATGATATTGTTTATTTATTATAGTTGTCAATAGTAATATAATTGATATTGATATTGTTGTTATAATTGATATTATCATTGTTGTTGTAATACAAAACTGATTTAAACAAGTTCAGTTTTTTTAATTTTTAAGTAAAATCTAATTAAATAATTGAAAAATACCAATTATTTAAAAATAATAAACTGATTTCAGTTTTTTGAACAGATAAAAATATTGGAAAATTTTTAGTGATACAACAAGTATTACTATAATATAGTTGAATTTAAGGATTGACTTGAAACAAATAGTAGACTTATCAACTTTATTTAAGTATGTATTTTGAAAAGTATTTAATTTAGTAAGTATAATAATAATAATATAAATAGTTTTTATAATAAAATGAGAGTAAAAAGGAGTGCAAAAGAACAAAGAATAAAGAATTAATATAAACTTTTTCTTATGTAACCAAAGGATAAACAAAACTTTCAAACTTGAATAAACTTTAACCAGAGATTCTATTCTACTGCATTAATTATCTTAAAGGTTCTTAAGTTTTTAAGCTAAAGTTCATTTGTAATAAAGAATACAAAATACTTTTTCTTGCTTAAAATTATTATAAAAAGAATTTTTTTAACAAAATAAACATAATTAGCAGAGAGTTTTTAATTAAAAGTCATTTTATTATTATTAATATATATGTAATTTAATTGTAATAATATTCAAAACTATAATATTAATAATTATATTAAGTTTAATAATTTTATATAAAAATTATTTTATTTATTTATTTATTTTTATAGTAAAATAGTATTAGATACAAGTTTTATTATATATTTTTAAAATATTATTATAACTTCAAATATATTAAACATTCTTTATAATATTATTACTATAATTAAATGCTAACCTATTGACTGTTATATTAAGCAATATATTTTTATTCTTAAATTAGATCTTATAAGTTCAAGACCTATCTAAAGTATAAAAGTTCTACAACTAGTTTAAACCATCTAATATATTGATTTAATTTATACAGTATAAGTATTATAATTGATTATTATTTACTATCTATACAAGTTACTTATTACATTCTATCTTTTTACTTATGAAACTATAGTTTTAAAAAGTCTTTAATATGTATATACACTTTCTAGTAAATGTTTTAAAAGTGTATATTTTAGTTAACAATTACTATTAAATTTAAAAGCTATATTGATCAAGTGGAACATTATTCCAAAATCTCTTATTAAATATTTTAAAAACTTATTAATTAACTTTAGCTATCAAATCTAAGGACCATAAATATTAAGCAAAATGTAACTCTTATATATTATAAGAGTATTTTGGAGCCATAAAGATAATTATATATTAGTATTAATATAATGTTCTTCTTTAAAACTTTTTACTTAATAGTCAATAAGGAAATCAACAACTTGGAATTAATTAAGATGAAATATAATTCAGTCTATATTTTTAAATATATGAATAGAGTTTGTACTTATCTAATGATTATTGTGACACCTTCCAGATAATTGCTATATCATTATATCTTTTCAAATAAAAGTTATTATAATTGTTTTTAAAAAATATTTTAAAATGTTTTAATTATATAAACTATAATGATTTTATGTATTTTTAAATATTTTATTATTTTGGATAGACAAAAAAAAAATTCTCTCCTGATCGCGTCCGTTTTGTTAAAAATTTTCCTTTTATGATAATTTTAAGCAAGAAAAAATGTTTTACACTCTCTATCGCAAGTGAGCCCCAGCTCAGGAACTCAAGAACCTTCAAG